AGCAAACCCCTGACACCCAATGACTCGGCTCAGAAAGTCTGAAACATGAACATGCGACCTCGGGATAGAACAACGACTTCCGGGGCGGCTGGTCCAAAGCTACAATGCTAGAGATTAAGGGTTTGTTCGGGGCTGCAAGTTTCGGAGTTTCGGGCGGCAGCCCGGACCCCGACATCAAAAGGTTCACGTTTAGGGTTACAGCCCTAAACTCGAAATCAACAACACCTAGCAGACCCTAGCAGCTAGCATCCTAAACCCAAAGGTAGCCGAAGGGCCGAAATCTTGCTGAAGGTCATATGGGCGGGCTGCTGCTCCCTGGCACGCGGCTGAGGGTTTGGGGTTTGGGCTTTAGGGTTTCGGGATTAGTGTTTGAGGTTTCGGGCGGAGGAGTTACACGGCCTAAGGATTTCAGAGGCACGAGCAGCGAAGGCGCTTCCCAGACACTCAAAACAACAACTTGGTTAAGCGATAGACCCGGAAGAGGGATTTTAAAATCACATGGCATGATTTAAGCCATATTCCTTCTGTAGGTGTTTTGGAGTTCTGGGTCTCCTATCAGGGCCAAAAAGTCCTGACCTCCGGCTGCTGGTGGTTAGCGGTTAGCATGGGACTGGCAGAAACGACCTGCCCGGAATATGGACTCAAAATAGCAGCCAGGACCACACACATGAGGCATCTCTAAACTGGAAAGACATAACCACATGGGTTACTGAGCCCTTTGATATACAAGGAACACATGGACGCGAACACCTTCGTTTGGGCACTGAGCATGCTAAAGCGCTTGGGGCTTGCCCGACTTGTAAAAGGACGGAAGCAGCACAAACCTAGAGTCCTTCAAGCTCATTACATTAGGGGGACTCTGATATTATCTGTAAGCGCCTAGAACTTGGAAGATTTATGTTCTCAAGCACGATTTATGTTCTCAAGTCCTCAAGCCCACAACCCGTTTGACTGAGATGGCACGCACTACTGCTTACAGTCGAGAGAGCAACTCGCACCAAACCCTCTGCCCCAAGCCCTAAGACCAAAAAACCTCAACCAAGACTTATGCGCCCCCAAGCCCATACCCTAGGAGCTATAGCTATATGTACTCAAAGTCACCCGACCCTCGTAATTACCTGCATACCGGAATCTGGACAAGACGTCTGCTAGTCATACAGTATAATACTGTAGCAAATAGAGGAGCAAATACTACATGGATTAAGCTTGAAGACCCTAACAACATGCTTCAGTCGCTCGTGGCGAAAGGATAGCAGCTAGAGGCCCCCTGGCCTCTGCGCAATCTCTCCACCCCGTTGGGGGAACATGAACCTGTGGCTGGGAAAGCCTCCCGACACGCACCTCTACCCTTTTGCCGTAGGGATCAGTATAAGGCCTCCACCGTGATCCGTAGGTGCACTGGTAATGCCAAGCTTTTGGGGCTTGAAGGTTCGCGGACAAGGCTTGCAGAATGTTATTCTGCCCTAATACTTTTGCACTAGTGTCGTCAAGCCTTGACTTATCCATGCGGCATCAAGAAATCCTAAACTCTGAATTACCAAACCCGCCAAAGACTCTCGAAACCCATTTCAAGGCAAAGAAGACAGGGCCTGAGCGCAGGGGGTTGGGGGTTTAGGGTTGAAGAGACGTAGTAAACGGGCTGCACGCGTATCTTTGCAAGTAACCTTATGGGCGATGATGAAGTGAAAGTCCATGAAAACACACCAAGTTTCTGAGCCGCTTTGACTCTCAAGTACGACCTGTAGCAACCCCAGATCCACTGGCGGGTGCAACGTTGCTATGCTATGGTGTGTTTACAGCTGGCAGTCGTCTAATCGTCTGAGAATTCAGCCTGGGACGACAAACCTTTGGCACGCTCACCCGTACTCATCAAATGAACCCTACAACCCTAAACCCTAAACCCTAAACTACAAGGGTGTATGGTTCATGCCGCCCGCACCCTTCATTCACGCAGGGCCTTCGGAATAAGATGGGGAGCCCCGTAACTACATGGGTGAGGGTCACTTCCTCAACTCGCCACATTCTGACACCCTAAACCCCAAACCCCAAACCCCTAAACCCTGAACCCCAAACCCCTAAATCCCCTAAACCCTGAACCCCAAACCCCTAAACCCCCTAAACCCTCAGCCCTAAACCCCAAACCCCTAAACCCCTAAACCCAAAGCCCCTAAGCCCTAAACTTTCCAGCCCTTCAGCAACGGCTGAGGTTGCTGCACGAGCTGGGCCTCACCAAAGGTGGCGAGCTGCAAGAGAGCCTTGGTGCAATACATAAGCGGCCGTAATAATATCTAGAATGTGTTACACAGTATATAATTAAGGGGCCGTGATATCTAGAATGTGTTATATAATGATTTTGGTGGACATAACATGTGGGGCCTTCATACTTAGAACAGCGGTCTGGCGGTACAGCACATCATATGATGTCACGGCCGCGGTCTTGCACTGAGTTTGAGGGCTTGGATATAATCCTACGGACCCATGCCCGGAACCTCAGGATTTCGAGCACTTTCTAGGTCTTGGCACTTTTCTAGACCCAAGAGTAACCTAGGAATAAAAAGGGTGCCCTTTTTGCTTTAAAAGGGGATTATAAGGGAACCTGAACCCCCAAAAAAGGGAATCAGGGCTTATTCTGGGTCCTCGTTTTCCAGTGAATCATGACGATTGGATGCTTGGCTTTGGGGGGGCTTCTCTCAAAAAATCTCTGTCGTTCGAACAGAGAGCTCCGTTGCAACCAGCTGGGAACCTGTTGTCCTCACCCACACTCACTTCTTGACTGTAGCCCCCAGGCTCAAAGTAATTGCCTATAATTATGATCGCATACTCCACCAGATATTATAGCATATTGCTGGCTTTACTAGACCAAACCCAAGTATCGAATTCTTGGGTCCTTTGGACCCTCCGGGTGGCTTCTGGCTGGGGCTCCCGGCAAGCCCGCAGAACTTCGCCATGACTCCTGAGACCTGGTTCGATTCTATACTGAACTTAGAACCTTGATGTCGCCAATCCCTGGGGAGGTTTCGGGTTTAGGGGTTTAGGGTTTAGGGAGGTTAGGGTTTCTATACTGAACTTAGAACCCTAGCAAAAATTGTAGTTTTAGCTGCTTCTTAGGGGTTATAATCACCAAACACTAAAAAATATTTCTAAGTGTTGCGGGGCTGCAAAAGGGGTTGTGCAGGGATTTAGGATCCGGGCCTTCAGAAGTGTGTTAATTATTCATGGCATCGTGCGCGTAGGACAGCCTCCATGACAATTCAGGCAAAACAAGGAAAGACCAGAACAAGTCTAGGATAAAATCCTAAACTCTAATCTTTATAAGGATGCCTTCCGACACAATGCTCTCGCAAGAGTCATACGCCGCGACTCTATATACCCTAAACCCTTAAGGAAGGGTCAGAAAGACGGGAACACATTTCAACTCAGCCCTTCATGCTTCTCTCCTCGTGCCCGAATCCTAACGAACCTTAGAGGGGTAAGGGAGAACCAGGGAGAGGGGGGGGGGGGGCCGAGTTAAGGGAGAGTAGCGGACCAGATTTCCTTAATCTCCTGCGATGAACCCTAACCCTCTAAGGCTTGCTTCAAGGGTTCTATTAGGGCCGTAAAGGGTTCTTTGAAGGGTCCCTCTGTGCTTGAAGCACGGAGATGCTCCAAATGCTCTCAACGGAAAAACCTCCTTGGCCTTCCTCGCGTCGGGTCTGCTTAGGCTTGTAGGGACAGGGGGGAGGTTTCAGGATGTGTATATGTATATGTTACATATGTCTAAATGTATGTGTGACTGTATCTGTATGGGTATATATATATATATATAGAGAGAGAGAGAGAGAGAGGAACAGAGTATAGCATGCACGGGTTTAAGACAACTCCAGGAAGGAGGCTACGCAGAACTCTACTTATGACCTTGGAGAAAGAAACTTCAACAGCAAATATTCAACCCGGAGGCTCGTTCGCTTGAAACTTCTGAGCTGAGCCTCAGGCTGTTGACAGGATCACGTGCTCGTTTCTATTCGCATGTGCTCAGGGAATCGAGCCAGATGCAGCCGGAGGCAGGACAGAAGAAGGCTTTCCGGACAAGCACACGATACCACATCCATGCTCCTTAACATCACAACCACATCTGGAAAACATCGTGCTTTCCCATGACGATGAGACGACAAAGGTCCGGGGAGGGTTTTGGGCTGGGCAACCCTAAACGAACCCAAAACAGCAAGGCCCTAAGTGACACCTACTTACTCCCTATTCTCGAACAGCTTACGGGTTTTTTGAGTTAGGGTGTGTACCCAAGCCCCAGCATAATTAAGTCAGGGGACTCGTACGCTTCGGTCTGATGCCATGCGAATGCATGACGAAACACATAGGGTCTGGGGCTTAATTAAGATGTATAGGGTTTTGGGTTCAGGGTTTAGGCTGCATAGGGTTTAGGGTTCAGGGTGTAAAGTTCAGGATTTAGGGCAAGAGCGAGAATAGGAGCCTCACCCCTAAACCCCAAACACCACGTTCAAGCCCCATCCACAATCCGAAATCTGTGCCGTAGCCCTTTGTGTTCAGCGGGTCTGCAGACTGCTCATGTGTGCTCACGTCTCCGTGTGGGGCGAAGATGTGACGAACACCTGTGTTTGTTAAGCTTGTACAGGAACTGAGACTGAGACTGTTGTGCACACAGTTGAGCACCATGCACATATGGGCCTTTCTAATTCGAACTGGGTCCGGCAGTATGTTGATTGTAGCATCCAAATACGGACTCTAAGGGAAAGGCGACCATTGGGGCAGGGCATATCTGATAACTCTCTCTCTCTCTCTCTCTATCCCTCTGTCTCTCTCTCTCTCTCTCTCTCTCTCTCTCTCTCTCTCTCTCTCTCTCTATATATATATATACATGAGACATACCTTGAAAATGATTGGGATCCCTACTATGACTTGCAGTATAAATATAAATATATATATATATATATACACACACACACACACCTTAATTAAGGTATAGTGGAAGTATGACTATGGGGCACCCCGCGATCGCCAAGGCTGCATGCCCGGCGATACTACCTGCCAAGTCACCCAAGCATGGGGATGAGGTAAGCACAGACGCTTGCTTTGTCGGGCTTCCCACCACAAGATAGGGTTGAGGGTTTAGGGTTTCTCCACACCTAAACCATAAACTCCTCTGCAAATCGGACCGAAGCAAGTGTTGGGGAGGGCGGGGGGCAACTAACAGAAAGACCCAGAAAGGTTTAGGTGACATAGTGTTACGTGTAGCCGGAGGGATCGGCGGCTCGGGTGGTCATTTGGAATTTTAGGGCTTAGGGTTTAGGGCTGACAGGTATGCAGACACTCGACGGTGTACGAGCGTGTGAGTGTTTTTGCGCACGGCGTGCGTATGCATTCGTATGCATGTAGACATGTACGTAAGTGTGGCTGCTTACACATGCCTCACATGCTATAACGATTACAGTATACAGCTGCATTGCCTGGGTTTACATTAATTACATATTTACCTTACATTCAGAACCCGCACCCTAATACTACCTGAACTTGGAAACCCAAGCCCAATTCCTAATTGAATTCACAAATCCTCAACTCTAACCCCCCCCCTTAATTTCAAACCTTGGAACCAAAACTCTGCTGCCTTCCGCGCGCTCGACCAGCCGCGCGTGGCGGTCTGAAGTCCTCCGGCGCCTCGGATGCCAAAGCATAAGGAAAAAAGCATAGAAGCAAAAACAAGGATAGTATAATGAAGCCCAAGAAGGTAGGGATATCGATGAAGGCTTGCCGTAAGGGTGTGCGGTTTAGGGACTTAGGATTTAGGGTTGAGGTTTAAGGCCGAGGGCGTTCACAGCTTTACTGTTTAGGGCTTGGGGCTTGAAGTTGTGCAATGCAAATACCGGCGTATCTTGCATATGTACAGTACAATCGCACATACGATGGCTACGTACACACATGTGTACATACTCACATATACACATGTATATACCATTAGTTGTCATTGTACATCTATATATGCAGCATACATAAACGCCTTACCGCTGATCCTGGCCCTGCCTGCGAAAGTGTCAAACAACTGATCCGGCCAAACCCGAATGTTGACAACGAGCAAAACATGGGTGACCTGAACGCAGAACTTTATCCTAGAGTGCCAAAACAGCCCAAGACATGCTAAACTGCTAAACCCTAAACTCTAAACCCTAGGCCCTAAATGCTCCGGAACCCCAAACAGAGGGGCCGAAAAGCTGCCTGGAAGGACCAAGTTAGCCATGATGGTGATTTCAAGTTCCGCAAGAGCCCCTTAATCCTGCAGGCAGGAGACCCCCAAAGTAAGACGGGGAAAGGGGTGTAATCCAGGGGCCTTTTTTAAATCAGAATGGGGTTTTGGTGCCATTATACTATAATCATAACAAGGAACCCCCCTCCAAAATAGTATTGGTAATGATTAACTAAGTCCTCTATATTGAAGGAATTCGGATCGGGGCGTTTAGGTTCGGGGTTTATGGTTTAGGATTTAGGGTTTAGGGTCTAGGGTTTAGGGATTTCGGATCTTCACGCTTGGGTGTTCGGGCCCCGATCGTACTGTTGGGAGACGATGCTTTTCTAGGATACCCACTAACCTAAGAATAAAAAGGCATCTCTTTTTGGTATTGGGTAACTTTATAAGGAACCTAGGACTACAAAAAGGGAATAAGGGTACTACTGGGCATCCTAGTTTTTCCTGGCATCTTAGGAACCCCGCGGACTTCCATCCGTGGCCTGCCATTCGCTTGGAAGGTCAGGGCTCAGGGTATATAGGGTTTAGGGTAGGATGGGTTCTTGGGCTGGGGGATTTAGGGTTCAGGGTTTAAGGATTAGGGTAGGATGGGTTCTTGGGTTGGGGATTTAGGGTTTAGGATGTAGGGTTTAGGGTAGGATGGGTTTTAGGGTTTAGGGTATAGGGTTTAGGGCAGGATGGGTTAATGGGCTTGGGATTTAGGGTTTAGGGCTCAAGGTTCAGGGTAGGATTGGGTTTCAGGGTTTAGGATTTAGGTGTTATCTAACGTGTGTTGAGCCTGGTCTTTACAGACCCATACAGTAGGATTTAGGGTTTAGGATTTGAGGTAGGGTTGGGTTTTCGGTTTAGGATATGGGGTTCAGAGTTTGGGGTAGGGTAGGCTTTCTGAGCTTCGGGGCCTGGGGTGATATATGTAGAAAAAAACATCGGTCTGGGAGTCATCTTCGCGGGTTCGGAGGCTTAGGGTTTTACGCGTGACCTTCTGGAAGATACAAACCTAAAGCGCTCTACACCCTAAAGTCCTAGACTGGGGTGCAGGGCCGTGTAGGGTTGAGGGTGCCAGATTCCAATTGCCAAAGGTCCAACACTTCACCCCCGCCCTAATCCAGCTCCTGTACACGCTCGAACATGAAGGCGATTGGGGACACAAACCAGCATACTCTCAGGGTCGAAATACTTCAGTAAGTGGCATGTGGGCTTTGGTGTAAACATATTCATGCCCCTGATGCACGAGCTTTCTTGCTCTCAAAGTTGCTACCGATCATGCTAGGGATCCTGATAACAGGCCCCTGGAGAAGCTGAGGGTCTACGCAAATGCTGGGATCAATACCGGTACCTCGAGCGTGAACCACGACGAAAACCATGAACCCCTCAACCCGACAATGCTAAAACCCCAAGGGTCCAAAGGACCCGATTATTGGGTACTCGGTTTTCGGATAGTAGATATGTAGGTCAGGGTTTTTATTGAGTATATGGTCATTCGGTACTTGGACCCTTAGGGAAACCCTAAATCGACTTATCCGACGAGGCCTCCGGCGGGACGTCTGGCGACATGGAGCCTGAAACTCGCATGTCAGAGCAACAGAGCCGTTCTTTTGGGGAAAAACGCTCAGGGCTTAGATTGCAGGATGAAGGGTTTGAGGCTTAGAGTTGGACGTGAGTTTTAGTTTAGGGCTTTGGGCTTTGCGTGTAGAGTTTCAGACATTGCAGTTCACTGGCTGTGACTAGCTGTTCCTTAGCGGTACCAGGGCAAATGAGCCCATTCCTTCAACCCTGAAACATCCTAAGCCCAACAGAAAAGTCCATAAAGTGCAAGGCACCTGCCTCTCCCTCTCCGACTCGCTCACCCTCTCTCCACTACTTCTCTGTCTCTGTCTCTCTCTCGCCAGAGAGCCCAATACCCCTTAATCAAGGAATATGGCTTAAATTATACAGGGCTTCATACTATATGATTTAAGCTATATTCCTTAATTAAGGGGTATTGGGCTCTCTGGGTCTCTCTCTAGCTCTCCCTCTTGCTCGCGCTCTCCGAGGCACGAACGCTTCGCTTCCAAAGGTCGATCCTCGGACAACCACCTGGGGCGTCTGAAACGCACGGCTTAGGGTTTAGGGTTTAGGGTTTAGGGTTTATAGGGCTTAGTGGTTTAGGGCCAGGGGTGTAGGGTTCGGGGCTTAGTTCAGGATGGGCTGTGGGGACGGGTTCAGTGCTTTAGGGGCTGAGGGGTGTAGGGTGTAAGGGTCTTAAAAAGAGATGTTCTCTATGGAGCTCTAGATGGTTTTATCGATTAATCGGGAGGGTTTAGGTGTACTCCAGGTATTGGAGCTCCCCAGAACATGTATATGATGAATTGCAGGACAGCTGATGGACACAATACTGCATCGCCGTCCTACGTTACCCTAATCTACTGGGGTATCCTGGTGTAATCCTTGCTGTGGAGAACCATCGAGCTGAAGGTTTTCTTTCGGAGGGACCTTGACAAAGAACCAGCCATGCCAGGCTATAAGGTCTCAGTCCCCGATGCTCTGAAAGTCCGATTAGCTTCTTGAATTCTCGGGTGATAGGTCTAGTTCGAGTTTGGGGGCCTCTGGAGCGGCAGCAACCCTCAACCCTTAACCCAAAACCCCAAACCCTAGTTCTCAACCCTAAACCCTCGCGTGTCTTCCGACGGACAGAAGCCGGAGGAGCTGAAGCTTAGGGCGTATGAGGGGTAAATGCTTAGAGTTTAGGGTACAGGGGTTTAGAATCCAACCTGGACGAAAGAGCCGGGAAGGAGAGCCACGAAAGCATGCATGTTAGGAGTTTCATAATTACCTATGCATTTTTTGTTTTTGTTGGAGGGGGGGGGGGGGGGGGGGCGTCCTCATTTTTATCATAGTGCAGTGGGCACGATAACCCTATTCTACTTACATATTAAGGCTCCCATAGTATGGTACCCTTATGGTAATCCTTATAGACCCCTTTAACTAGGCTGGCCCTTTAAAGCCTCTGAAAAATGTTCGTAAATAGGGTCCTATTAAGCCCAATAAGGGAAAATATTAAATGTCCCAAAAGCCTACCTAGTTAAGAGGAGCCCTTAAAGGAACCCTACTCTAATCAACTTCCGCCCAACAGCCGCTTCCGTGCAAACTCTGCACCGAGGCCCACACCGGAACACCTGGTGGGGTCTCCAGCCTGAACCCAGCGGAACTCTAACAGGGTTTAGGGTTTAGGGTTTGGGGGTTTAGGGATTAGGGGTTTAGGGATTAGGGTTTAGGGTTTAGGGTTTAGGGTTTAGAGATTAGGGTTTAGGGTTTAGGGTTTAGGAAAAGCCTTCAGCCCTGAACAGTCATTGAGACTTCGTGTGCTGTACAGTTTGCGAGTTTTTGGTTTGAGGCGGCCAGAAGGCACTAGAGTCCTGGGCCGTCGATTGTACAGTTCCGGGTACTGGCGTCTGTCATGATACTGACACTTGTGATCACGGAACGACTCCAGGGCAACACCACCATTGCATAGGCTCCAGTCTTGAAGTCTATTTGGCGGTCAACCTCTTGACCAAAACGGAGTCTTCGGGTCGTCACATGCATTTCTGACCCAGGACCTGTATAGTTTTGAAAGCTCCTACTCCACATGGTTTAAGCCGTAATCTCCCTGACGGCTCCGAAATCTGTTCCCAGTCATGAACTGCTCTACTAATGACTGAAGCTGTCGAGTGCAGACGTTGGAAAAGCAGCGTCGCACCTTCAGGAATGCATTGCCACGGCCTGGACTGCGGGCTCTGTTCGGTTCAGTATTGGCATGAGAAAACCCGTTGGATCGGGCGTTCTTGGGGCAAGTCTTTGGATTTCAGGTCTGCCTTTTGCCTCGTCACGTTGGCTTCTGAAGACTGGGAATGCAAAGGGAAGGAAGTATAAACGCACACCACCGTACAGCTCCAAAACCCCGAACCCCAAACCTAAATGTAGGGCTTCAGGAACACATGGCGGTTTCCGACACTAGGGGACCCTAATATAGTACCCTAAATAGTAGGATCCTTACTATGAGGACCGCAAAATTAGGTACCCCTAATTTTCGGAAACTCCCACATGGCCCGAGCCTTCAACCAGGCTGTGGCACCGGCGACTCCTAGGCCTAGAGGCTCCACTTGGAGGATCCTGGGAGTTAACTTAAGTAAGATCAAAAGTACCGTTATGAGAGTTATAGGTAAGTACGAACTACAGTTACCTGATTTACAACATTTTATAACCCTAACTTGTTCTAAAGTCCCATGATCGTTCTATGTAGGATTTACTATGCTGAGAGCTGAAAGCACCAAGCACCCAAAGCCGCCGTCGGAGCATATGTCAGACTATTCCAAGTCTTTGCGCAAGCTCCAGATCAAGTACATAACTTCCGATTCGTTGTTTCAATGCTGCTGAGCACACACACACACACACACACACCCTGCAGTGTGGAAGCGTCAGGTATGCAAAGCCTTGAAGTGACCCAAAATAATCCACCCAGAACCCGGACACTTGGCGGCCGGCGCAATGAACACGTGAAGCCACAAACAACCCTGGGCAAGTCCAATTTCGCAGAAGTCTGCATCCGGCGAGTTGAGGCGAGGGTAGGGGGTCGCAGACCGTACATGGAATCTGTTTTTCACTGCCACCTGGACCCCAAAAGTATGTAGAATAATGGCCCTTTATAGGTTTTGAGCCATTATTTTACCTACTTTTGGGGGGTTTGGGGTAGTACTGTAGTGGTGATCCACATCAGCACTGCGCTGCCTCCCCTGAACCCTGAAGCCTCCAAATGCCGAGCTTCGGTTGGCGCAATATCTATAAGCCATTTACAGGTGGGTAGTTTTAAGGTGGGTGGTCTCCCATAAGCCTTCCATACCACTCCGATAATGTAAAGGGGTCTTATGGGAGTACTATGGAAGAGGAACTACCCACCTGTAATGGGCTTCTACTATCCAGGGGTCGCAGAGGCTGGAAGATCCTAACCGTACGCTAGAAAAAGGTGAGCTTTTAACCCTCTAAACCCTACATTTAAGGCCATGGTTGAGGGTACATCATATAGGTGCCTTAAGAATTAGAAAAGGGCTTTGGGGTATATTATACTATAGTTATAACAAGGAACCCTCCAGAATAGTATCGGTAATGATTAAGGCCCCTACAGTATTAAGCTTTGGGCTAAAGTTGCAAAGTTTGGCCAGGTTCGGGGGCTACTGGCTATAATCCTGTTCCAGCACTCCGACACTCCACCACAGGCTGCCAGGGACAGATCAGGATCCATCCTCACATTCAAACATATCAGCCATGGACAAAGCTCAACAGAGTTTCCAAAGTCGGGGATGCCCTTTAAAAGGAGATCCTAAGATGGCACGATCCTCACTAAAGTGGGGTTCACCTTCTTGTAGACATGGTCCCAGTTCAGTCTTAAACTGTGGTGATGCTCCTGTGTCTGCCTGCCAAAGTCGCGCCCACGACTTAAGGAAAGCAGCTTAGCGGATATAGGGCTTGCGGTTGGGGGGGTCGGGGTTGAGACAGGAGCAAATCGAGGGATCCTGGACTTGGCGCCGGGCGCAAACAGCGTACAGGGTGGTCCCTGCGACGTGCGCAACGGAGGGCACGTTCATGACATTGAGCCTGGGTTCAGCAGCTCCCCTTTTTCGCACTTAGCTTCCGTCCCAAAACCTCCTAAGTCCTAAGTACCTATATATGGAAGGTACTTTCCCAAAATATAATAACCACCCACGAGTAGTTCCTACAAGAGAAGTCTACTCTTACGATATCGGTAGTAAGGAGCCGTTGAGGAACTCTTAGGTTTAGCGTCTTGGAACCCTGAGGCAGGCGGCAGGAGTTGGCAGAGGGACTGGTTCCTTTCTAGGCTCCTTTTTTCCGTCCGCAAGATCAGAGGCAACAGGCAGAAGACCCAGAGGTCAGGAGAGGAAGTTTCGGATTAGGGTTTATAGGGCTTTAAAGTTTCGGGATAGTCTTTGAGGGTTTGGGCCGCTGAATTGAGGCAAGGAGCCCGAAGCCCCGAACTGAAGGCCTACAGCATAAGCCTTAAAACTTGCAGCCCTAAACCCCAAAGCTTCTACAGATCGACGACCCCATTGCCGTCGCCCCGACAGCCTAAACCCTGCGGGTCCAAATAACCCAATAAACAGGTACTCGGGTTTGGGATAGTAGTTATGTAGGTTACTATTGTGGAGAGTATATGATAATTAAGTACTCGGCCCTAAACGCTAAACCCCTGAATCCCTAAACCCTAAACCCTAAACCCTAAATCCCTCAACCCTAAATCCCTAAACCCTAAACCCTAAATCCCTAAACCCTAATTCCCTAAACCCTAAATCCCTAAACTAAATCCCTAAACCCTATAATATAACCTTAAACCCGAAACCCGGAGGCTCTGGAAGCCCTGCGCTCTGGAAGCCCGGGGCTCCGTGCAGGAGCACCTCGGCCAGCGCCGGCAAGACGCTCCAAAGGAAAAGCTGCACAGCCCCGCCTCGGAGTTTAGGACTTCGCCCCTCGGCTGAGGGTTAGGGTTTAGGGATTTAGGGATTTAGGGTTTAGGGATTTAGGGATTTAAGGATTTAGGGTTTAGGGATTTAGGGTTTAGGGTTTAGGGATTTAGCGTTTAGGGATTTAGGGATTTAAGGATTTAGGGTTTAGGGATTTAGGGTTTAGGGATTTAGGGAGTTAGTGTTTAGGGATTTAGGGATTCAGGTTTTAGGGTCTAGGGTTCATAACTATAGGGTTTAGTTTAGGGCTGTGAAAGGGCAGGTTTGGGCCTCGGCACCCGGTCTAGGCTCTGCTTGAAAGAGTTCCACCACCACCAGCACGTACTTCCAACATGTGCTTCTTTGCCCCATAACCCTAAACCCGATGTACTGTAAAAACCTTACGGATTATAATCGCTCTCCGACGCTTTCTTTCAAGCATTAGACTGCTGAGAAAGCAAGACTTCGACACCTTCCAACATCTTTCCATCAAGGAATATACCTTAAATTATCAGTAGGATCCCTAATGTGATTTCAAAGGGGCCATATACCCACATACTTGCAAGTACTTGAAGTGTCTGAATAGGGACTACTCAAGGCCAAAGTCTATACTGCAATATGAGTACATGGACCCTTAGACAGTGCAGGCAAAGTCACCAAAGGGCGACAAACGCAGCAGCGTGGAGGAGGAGACTTGAGGGTGAAGAACCTCCATCGCAACTTTAGACTCATAGGGTTTAGGGTTTAGGGTTTAGGGTTGAGGGTGTAGGGTTTTTAACTGTTTTACAATATGGTTGTCGAGGTTTAGAAGTCGGTAAGGGATGTTATACGGGGGGTTGATACGGGGCCTTGATAAGTTCGATTGGGTTAACCACAGAGGGACAAGGTTCAAGGTTCAGGGTTTGAGGGATGGGTGCACTGGGTTAGGATGCTTGGATGAAGAGGGCATGGAGGAGCTGGGAGGGGTAGCGAACAGCTAGCGCCGCTAGCAACAGTGGTAAGTGTTCATGCCGCTAGCTGCGAACTCAGTGATTGACGTGTCTTGTAAAATGGAGAGTGAAAACATCCAAGCGATATGGGGCCCCCATCACCCGGAACATGGACTGAAAGCGAACACGTGAAGCTTGGCAGACCTGCTGATCTTAACCTAAGTTTCCCGGAACTCTTGGAGAACCAGGGGAACACTGGCTTCACCCCACACGCTAACTGCGAGTCTTCCGTCGGATATGCAGTTTAGGCATGACCGTTCTTGGTTCAGGGTCAGCATCGCTCCGTAGGCAAGGACAGCCGCAATCGTGAATGAATCCGAATTTCTTGATCCTGGAACCCTCAAGCGCTAAACCCTCAAACTCAAAACTGCTTAACTCAAGCACACTAGCTCTGAAGGATGAAAAACCTGCAAGCTTAGAAAGTAAGTAGGATTACTATCTACAATTCAGACCTGGCAGGATCCCAAAAGTAGATCCCACTGAGGGGGTTCCAAAAAGCCACGGCATATAGGGTCCCAAACTAGGGGATCCATTTTATGGTCCTGCGAGGATACTCCCACGTCTGCCGAACTCAAGGCGTGCACGACATTGTTGGGCCCGGGGTCGGCAGTTTCATATACGTAGGGGGTTTAGTGGCCGAGGGGTTTAGAATAGGGCTCCTTTGAGGAATCTGAAGGCGGTAGCGGTTTGAGTCTTAGTAAATCGAGGATGGTGGTGGAGGAAACAACCAAAAACATGTATTGACTGCAAGGGGCAACCATGTTGAATTGGTGCTGAATAGCTTCAGAAGGCCCTGTAGGGATTAGAGAGAGGATTCCGGGGTGTGTCTGGAATTCAAGATTGAGGGTTCAAGGTTGGGGGATGTCACAGGTTGCATTACTCACCAGATCTTGAAGGCTGTGGTGCATTCCTACCATTCAATAAGTCATATAGAGGCCTTAATAATTAGGATCGGATTTTGGAGCCCTTTATACTATTAGTATATAATAAGTAACCCCAAAATAGTATTTGTAATTATTTAGGCCCCTATAGCAAACCACCTGCCTGCAGCGTATAGCCCATGGTGTAGTAATTGGCGGAATACCTGGCACCGGGCACATGCAAACTTGCCGGTCGGAAGTTCCCAAGCTGCCTTACTTGGAGATCATGGGGCTTAGTGAGTGAGGTTATAAGTACCCGAATAGGGCTTATAAGTAAATGAGTTACAGCTACAAATACATTTTGTCCAGCCTGTTATTTTGTTAAGTCCCATGATCCTCTAAGTAGGAAGGCTGCCCGAAAAGACTTTCTCACACACCAGCATTGGCCTTGACAGCTAGAACAAGTTTCCAGGGATTGTTGGTACACTAATTACGTCGGGTCAATCGGGGTTTGAGTCATGGCTATCAGGTCTGCATTATATTCAGGTATTCGGGATGTAGAGCCTGGGCCTGGGGTAATATTGTGGATTGGACGTTTTCAGAATTCCCTGTCAGGTCCCTGGTTCAGGATTCAATAGTTATAGGGGTGAGAAGGTTAAGAGCTCTAAGTGCTCAGGGCTCTAGCGTTTTGAAGTTTGGGGTTTGAGGCTTCGGGATTTAGGGGCTGAAGGGGCGCATTGAGAACGCCTGGGATCCCAAAGCTCCGAGCCCTGAAAAAGACTTCGCGCCAGGCCCACCAGCATGCAAGCGAGACGCACCTCAAGAAGAGGTTTGGTTTAGGGGTTTAGGGTTTAGGGTTTAGGGTTTAGGGAGCTTTTGGGGCTTGAAGCTTCCACCGAAGAGGCTGAATGACTGTGTCAGGGCGGATCGGCTCAGTTTCGGGCGTGCGGGCAGGCTGCTTGCATCGCAACCATCAAACTCAAAACTCCCTACAGCCCCAAACCCTAAACCCGAAACCCTAAGCCCTAAACCCTAAACCATCAAATCGTCAGCCTTCAGACATGAACATGGACGGAACATCCCTCGATCAAGCGACGCAGTATTTTCCAAGGGCGTCAAGCTGGCCCAATAGCCTTCGACCAAAAAACCTAAAGCTTGGGAATTGGGATTAGGGTTTAGGGAGCGTAAAGATGCGGCTTGGGGGTTTCAGGGTTTAGGGTTTAGGGTAGTAGCCTCTCCGTCCCATAAACCCCAAATCTTTGCAAGAGTTGAAACCCGACCCAAACTCCTACATCCTCAACCCGTAACCCCGAAACCCTAAACCCCTGTGGTCTCGGCTGTCCCAGCCAGAGCTCCATGCAGGAGGAGAGCGCCACCACCTCGCAGCTCGCAGCTCACCGTGCAGGGTGGGGTTTCAGTCAGCCTTTTTGGTTTTTTCGGGTTTAGGGCTTCGGGGTTATGGGCTTGTTAGGGTTTAAGGCGAATATACGGGCCTAAATAATTACCAACACTATTTTGGTGGTTCCTTATTCTAAAAATACTACAACAGTCCCCAAAACCCTATTCGACGTATTAAGGCCCTATATTGAGGGGTGTTTTGCTCTTGTGGGTTTTGGGGTTTCTGGCTTAGGGTCTCGGGGGTTTGGGACTTAGGGTTTAGAGTTTCCTGCCCAGGACTGCGGGTGCGGTTGATGGGCTATTCAGAGGATCATGGAACGTAGTAACTGGTGTTGTAAATGTGGTAACTACCGGTGATTTGGATTAAGCTTGTCAGTTTTACTCTGCAGCTGCCGGGCCCTGCGTTTGCAGCACGGAGTGCGACAATGGCTGAGCAGGGCACCACGACGACTGCACAAGGAAGCAGCACTGCTTCCCAAAACCTGCAATCTTGAGCTGCGAGATTGGCTTCGGTAATGCACTTCACCCTCAGTCGGTTCAAACACGTCAGGCCTAAGACAGACGGACACCACAGCACCTTTGCTCATGTAAAACTCCAACTCTGCACTCTGGACCCGAGCTCCAAGTCCAAAGCCTCCTGACCGAACACTGTGAAACGAACGCCAACACCGGAAATAGCAGTGCATCGACGAGCAAAGGCCAACACGGACAACATCACAAGAACAATGTTTCTGTCACGCACCTTGTTAATGAGCTTGAATCCAGATTGCCGATGGAGGCTTCTTACAAACTTCTCTGAGGGATCCTTCTGGGGGTATCTATGTGAAAGGTATCTTAGTCTTTCGGGATATTTCGGGTCTATATCCCCAAACCATCAACCCTGAAGTATCGTGGCATTGGCATTGGGGTCAATGCTGCATCAGGCTTCCGTATTCACTCGATTTCCCCAAACCCCTACCCCTAAACTCTGACATGGAAGCACTTGGGTTCTAAACTCTTGCAATGAGGAAAAGGAAGGCAGGAGGTTCCTCACTTTCTGAAGCCTCCCAATGTTCATGGAAGCGGCCGACTTCTAGGAAAGAGCTTGGTTGTCTGAGTTTTTTTCGTGTTCAGGGCTTAGTGCATATAGAATTTAAGAGTTTCGGGTTTACGGATCCGGGTTTACAGTAAATTTGAGGCTTTAGCTTTTTAGTGTTCGGGTTCCGGGCATCTCAGAGCCCTAACCCCTGGGTTGCCAGTCGCCGCGATGCCTGGTGTTGGCCACGTGGAAGGTCGCCGCCTAGCGGTTTAGGGTTAGGAGTTTAGGGGTTTAGGGCTTAGGGTAGCCAAAGCCGTTGCTACTCCAAAGTCCTACAAACCCGGTCACCAAACCGAAGAACTCCGACTGTGATATCCGGGCCGTAGTAAAGTAAGTAGAAAAGGGTTTTGGGTTCTATATAGTATAATATAATTTGACTATAGTTTTAAGAAGGGATCCCCAATTTAGTACCAACTTAAGATCCATCTGAGGCCCTGTGTATAAACATCGCGCACGCATGGTACTCTTTTGGGGTCGGATCTGCATGGGACTCTATATTTGGTCAGAAAGCAGACAGAGACGCGTTGCAAAGGCGTCTTTTTCTCGGATCCGTATCTTGGGACCTTGCTCGGAGGATCATGGGACCTAGTAACCAGGATTGTATATCATGTAGTAACTACAGTAATGGGGTACTTCGGGACTTACTTACTACGCCCCATGGTCCTCCACTTATGATTGCCGAACAAATCCCATTCGTCAATCCCCAGTGCGAGCCTCGCGCACGAAACTTCTTGCCCCGCGTGCCGCCCGAAGGAGGGAAGACCTGCTTAGGGCTTTTTGTGCCTGTAGCTATAGTCTCCATTGTAGTTCCTTTTTTGTTACATCTGTGATCTTATATCGCGACTCCGAGATTAGACTACAAGGTATACTACAGTCATGGGGTCGAGGGTTCTTGGATTAGGGCTTATAGAGTTGTGGTCTCTTGCGGACGACGACGACGAAGACTTGAATGCGGCTTCCGCTTCTTATGATGGTGGTGCTAGCACTTGCAGTGGTGGTAGTGGTGGCAGTCTGTCAATGGTAGTGGCAGCTTCGGCGCTGATGCTAGTACTGTTGTTGCTACAACAGACTCAATGCTTGTTACCTGTCCTTAGCACCAGCTTATGCCGCACTACGATGGTGATGCTCGTCGCCGAAGCTCGACCAGTTAAGCAGTTCATGGCCCTGTCTCTTTGCTGCAAACCTCAAGGCTTAGGTTTAGTTAAGGCCAGCTTTTCAAGCTTCAGGCTTAAGGGCAGCTGATTTGGGGATCCTCCCTTCGAGCTACTTCAGACATCTTCAGACACTCAACCCCGAAACCACTAACCGTCACTAACCCCAACTTGGAGCCTTGAGTGACAAATACCAAAAGCCTTATACACCCTAAACCCCTAAAACCTAAACCCTGAACCCTAAACTCCTAAGCCGCTTCGCCCCTTAAACCCAAAACCCCCAAACCCTAAACCCTTATCCCTCAATGCACATCCCCTCAAAAGCCTTATACACCATAAACCCCTAAAGCCTGAACCCTAAACCCCTGAAACCTGACACCCCAAACCCTAAACCATCACTGCGCATCCCCTCCAAGGCTAGAAGCTCAAAGTGTACCAGGTCTGTCGCACCTGTCGCCGGTCCAGTTCGCTCGACTCACCTGACCAGAGAGTCGCGAGCATTTCTTTGTCTGGTAGGCCAAGGGTCACGCTGCTTTTGGGGTCTAGGATTTAATATAGAGGTGCTGAGTGAAGGGTTAGAAACGGTGTAGGACGTTTTGGTGAATCAGGGTTTTTGTTTGTTTAAGGATTTCAAGGTTTAAGAGAACGGATTTGGGGATTGGATTGGGTGTCAGGGTTTCAGGTTCTAAGGCTTGAGGACTTTGAACCTTAGGGTCACCGCCCAGCCACAATGAAGAACACTGGAAAGCCTGCTCACCTGAAGCCCTTCTGCCTAAGTCCTTGTATCCTCGTGGACCACGGGCCAAAAATTCCGCTTCTGTTCAATCCTTACAAGTGTGGGCTTAGGATGTTGACCCCTCAACCCCAAACACTGAGACAGAATCCCCGACACGCAACAGCGACCAAGCCTCCCCTAAACCCTAAACCCTGAACCCTACACCTCTAAACCGTGGAACCTCCTCGATGGCAGAAACATCCTCTTCCAGATCCATGTTCGCTGCACCGGGAATGCCTCGAGGTGCAGAGCTGCGTCTCATGAGAGTCGCGTAAGATATAGGGTCTATAGGTTGGGTACTGCCCCCCCCCCCCCACCCTGCAGCAGTCTAAATTGGTGGTTATAAAAAATTCTACATGTAAATATACTGCAAAACTTCTCCCCCCCTCTACTGCAAAAATTGTACATACCTGTTACAATGTGGGATTTGGTTAATGTAGGGGCCTCAAATCAACACTTAGGGCAGGGCTTCTGGTGTTCCAACATAACTAGATAGCAGCTAGGAGGAGATCGGAAGTGCAAACAAGACCAAGAACGACTCCATGGGAAAGGAAACTCCCTAAACCCTAAAGCCCTGATTCCTCTTATAGTAACCCTTACAGGAACCCTTAAAGGTACCCCAACTCTAAAACCCAAAACCCCAAACCCCATACTCAGAGTAGATGAAGGCTCTGGGTTTGGCGTGCCGGAAGATCTCCACAGGAGCTCGGGCATTCGATCTTTCTCGGCAAACTCCCACATGCAGTTGTCTCAGACATATGAAATTGAACCTAGAAGGATATATATATATATATATACATATGTATGTATGTTTTATGTGTGTATTTACACACTGACATGCACAAATGCTGGTGCATAATTTCATTATCATTATCCACTATTCTACGCTATCATACATCATTATATGCTCTCTGTAGATACATGGACACAATACACACATGTAAATATGTGTGTATGAATATGTGTCTATATATATATATACAACTACATAGATGCATATGTCTGTAGATGCTGTGCGTAATTCAAGACATGGCGGAATTCAGTGCTGGAGGATCCTACTAAGAGTGCAGGGTCGTAAACTCTGAGGCCGCGGCCCAGTACCGTGCAAGCCTTGGGACGCTGGTTTCAGGCTTGGGGTTTAGGGTTGATGGCGTCGGAGTAGTAGGCTTTGGGGGTGTAGGGTTTGGAGTTTAGAGCTTTGCGAAGGGTTTAGGGGGTGCAAGCGGCAGCTTCCGGTTTAAGGAGGGGCTGAGGGTGTCGGGACGTGCTCCAATCAGCCCTGGGTGCCTCTGATGGCTCTTGCGAGGTTCGCAAGTAGAATGGAAGATTGATGAGTCCTCCAATCTCTGGAGCTGAAGATACCATACTATAGTTAGACCGCAATGGCTCTTGGGGCATCTTGAATGGAGACCACGTCAAGCCTAATTATCCCAAAACACTAACCCTATCCCGCCAAGGGCCTCATAGTTAGGGCCCTAGACCCCTTAAGGACCCCATAATAAGGTCCCTGGAGGGATAGGGTAAACCCTCAATCGAAAAGGACCCCAACCCCGGATCCAGCTGGGCATCAGCACCGGCCGTGCGCCCGCGCTGCCTAGCTGAGCCTGGGGGAGACAAGGGCTTTCGAGCCGCTGCGCAGCAGCGTAGGGTTTAGGGTTTAGGGTTTAGGGGGTTTAGGGTTTAGGGTTTAGGGTTCAGCAGTTCTGACTTTGAAGATTTCACGTCAAGCTTATTTTAGTCAAGCTATCTTCAAGAAGAAACCCCACCCGCCCAGAGAATCCCCTCAAATTAGAATTAAAAGTTTTATTTCTTTTGACATGAATTATTAAATAATAACTCACATACAACTCCAAGAATTTTCATACAGTTCGTGGTTGTTATAGCAACCACAGCCCTGGAATTCGATTTCATGTCTTCAAACGTTTTTACATCGGACTCTGTCCACTGTTATGCATCGACTGTAGCAGGACGATATTCCTTCAAACAGCTGAGGCTGCGGTCACGTCACCGCTTTACAATAGCAACCACGGCTATCGAATTGGATTTCATGTCTTTCAATGTTTCCACATCGGACTGTGTCCACTCGTTGCCTCGAACACTGAGGCTGCGATCACGTCATCGCTTTACGATAGCAACCAGAGCTGTCAAATTTCTTTGCCATGACCGTTCAGCAAACTCTCTCGACAACAGGGCCAAACAAGACTGCCAACGACCTTCAACGTGTCGAAAGTACTGGGGAAGAAAGTCAGCTGTGCGAAAGCCGAAAAGTGGAGGCAGCGCATCGAGCAACAGATCAACAACGATTCGAACCACATCCCTTGACCGTGGCACACTGACAAGCACACCTTCGACGATGGATCTTGAAGCAGCCGGGGCAACTGTCAAGCTTCTTTGCGATGACCGTTCAGCTAAAACTCTAGCTAAAACTCTGGACCATCGACAAGAAGAAGGTCCCAACAAGAATGCCAAAGACCTTTTCGCACTGGGACCCTAAACCCGAGGCCGCTAAACACTGGGGCCCTAAACCCGAGGCCGCTAAACACTGGGGCCCTAAACCCGAGGCCGCTAAACACTGGGGCCCTAAACCCGAGGCACCTAAACACTGGGGCCCTAAACCCGAGACCGCTAAACACTGGGGCCCTAAACCCGAAACCGCTAAACACTGGGGCCCTAAACCCGAGGCCGTTAAACAGTGGGGCCCTAAACCCGAGGCACCTAAACACTGGGGCCCTAAACCCGAGACCGCTAAACACTGGGACGACCATAAACCCGAGGCCGCTAAACACTGGAAAAAAAGTACAAAACCACGAGTTTTGATCCAAAACCACGAGTTTTGATCCAAAACCACGAGTTTTGATCCAAAGGCCACGAGTTTTGATCCAAAACCACGAGTTTTGATCCAAAACCACGAGTTTTGATCCAAAGGCCACGAGTTTTGATCCAAAACCACGAGTTTTGATCCAAAACCACGAGTTTTGATCCAAAGACCACGAGTTTTGATCCAAAACCACGAGTTTTGATCCAAAGACCACGAGTTTTGATCCAAAACCACGAGTTTTGATCCAAAACCACGAGTTTTGATCCAACGACCACGAGTTTTGATCCAAAACCACGAAGTCATTAGGGTTTAAATTACTATAGGTAGAGAGGTTTAGGGTTTATAGGGTTTAGGGTTTAGGGTTTAGGGTTTAGGGGTTTAGGGGTTTAGGGTTTAGAGTTTAGGCTTTGAGCCAGCGTTTGAGAGTGTTGGACGCTTGCCGGAAAATTACAGTTGAGGGTCAAAAGTTTACAGTGTGCTCTGTATCACAAAAGACTATGACCCAACTAAGGCGAAGGTGTTCGACTCATTCTCCACGCTACTCCAGCAAGCTTTGGGGTAGGGTTGGTAAGGTTTCAGGGTTGTCAAACGGAAGACTGAGGTCGTTGAACTCATGGTTGAGGTCTGAGGCAGGGGGAGTCCCACACATTCCTACGAAGATATACGGGGATGAATACCGACCCAAACCATAACAGTACTTCCGAATATGCAAAAACCCTACTCTGTACCATGTACTACTCAAAAATGCTTGGTACACCCTTGTCCTTTTAGAAATTATGGACAGAGCCCTATACCTATATCCCTTAGTAGGAATTATTTAAGAAGGTCTACTAGCCGGTCTGTTTGTTCTTTTGAGGGAACCACGAAAAAGGACAAGGCTGGTTTGGTATTTGTGGAAGTTCCAATTGAGGCCTGGGGCCAGGGATCCTTCGTTCCCCCAGGGGTTGCAACTAACCCGTGTATCCAAGCCCTAGGCTTCGGATACCAGGCTCACAGACTTAGGGGTTGAGGGTTTACGGTTTAGGGTTAGGATTCAGGGTTTACGGTTTAGGGGTTTAGGGGTTTAGGGGTTTACGGTTTAGGGGTTTAGGGGTTTAGGGTCTAGGGTTTACGGTTTAGGGATTTACGGGTTTAGGGTTTATGGTTTAAAGGTTTAGGGGTTCAGGGGTTTAGACTAGCCTTAGGGCTTTCCAGCCTCCAAACTCAAAAAACAGAACGGCTGAAAATGCATCCCCTGAACCCTGAAGGGGCAGAGCTTACCTATAGTCTCCATTGTAGTTCGTTCTTTTGATTAACCAGTTTTATGGTTAGGATCCTATAATAGAGATTTTGGTTAACCAAAAAAGGAACTGCAGTAGAGACTATAGGTATAGTACATCCTGATCGTGAGCCTCGAGCGCCATTAGACTTCTCTTCTCGAAACGCACCGCAAACAATGAAAATCCCCGCATCTCTCAGCCTCAAACTACATCCGAAAGCCTGATACCCCAAAGAGTACATATAAACCCCTAACAACTTACCTGCTGTTCCTGACTGCCCCGTTTTTTCAGCCATGCCTAAATCTAGAGCTGAATTCAGCCATAGGCTTGTTTTGAGAGGTATGTTTGCAGCTTCAGCCCTCGAGTCTTTCAATCAGCCCTCGTCATTCATGTTGCAGTTCGAAATTTACGATCAGCCTTCGAAGAACAGCTTGAAGACCCGGAAAACACAAACCACAGCGATCCCCGAATCCCTTGACCATCCAAGCTTTGGGAACCTGCATCTTTTGAATGCGCCCAATGTCGCTGGCTTTCTCGAACCGCAGCTTGCTGACACTCAGCTGCACAGGTCTCACCAGTGGGCAAACGAAAGCTGTCTTTGCTTATAATCGCTTAAGCTGTAGGGTTGGGACCTTAAGGGCAGGGTTTATATGGCCTAGAAGATTTTAGAATGGATTGGATTTGGGCTCATAGGGCTTCGGGGCAGGGTTTATAAGGCCTATATAGGGAATCTTCAGGTTTGGGTCCTATTCGAGCCTTGTCAGGGGGCACAACATGACACAAAACAGTATAACCACGACGATGACGACCACGACACCTACATAACGACAAGAGTATATTAGATGACAACTACCACTATTGATTACTTTTAATTGACAGCATCGTCAGGTTTGTTCACCCAAGGAAAGCCAATCGAAGTAGACCTGGATTAGGTAGCGCTGCAGAGTGCGATTGCACGTTTGCCGTGCAGAGCATCTACGGCTTGTCCTTGCTATTCGTCCGACAAAGTCTTCACTGTTTTCACATAAACATGCAGCAGGAGAAAGAATACGTGGACAGCCCCGGTCCAAGAGTCGTCTCACACGTACCGCCATATGACGATATAGATGAAGACTCGGCTCCACATGGAACCTGCACAAC